AGGTTGAACATTTTTTTTATATGCCTGTTGGCCATCTGTATGCCCTCTTTAGAGAAATGTCTCTTCATATCCTCTGCCCATTTTTTAATTGGGTTGTTTGTTTTTTTGGTGTTGAGTTGAATGAGTGTTTTATAAATTTTTGATATTAACCTCTTATCAGATATATTGTTGGCAAATATCTTCTCCCATTCAGTAGGCTGCCTTTTTGTTTTATTGATGATTTCCTTTGCTTTGAAAAAACTTTTAAGTTTGATGTAATCTCATATGTTTATTTTTTCTTTTACTTCCCTTGCCTGAGGGGATATATCAGTAAAAATATTACTCAGGGTAATGTCTGCAAATTTACTCCCTATGTTTTCTTCCAGGAGTTTTATGGTTTCAGGTCTTACATTTAAGTTTTTAATCCATTTTGAATTTGTTCTTGTATATGGCGTAAGTAGGTGGTCCATTTTCATTTTTTTTGCATGTGTCAGTCCAATTTTCCCAGCACCATTTATTAAATAAACTATCTTTACTCCAGTGTAAATTCTTGCTTCCATTGTCATAGATTAAATGACCATATATGGATGGATTTATTTCTGGGCTCTCTATTCTGTTCCATTGAACTATGTGTCTGTTTTTATGCCAGTACCATACTGTTTTGATTACTATAGACTTGTAATATGATTTGATATTGGGTAGTGTGATACCTCCTACTTTGTTCTTTTTTAATTTTTAATTTTTTATTTCTTTATGCTTACTTTTTTTCCCCTCCTACTTTGTTCTTATTTCTCAAGCTTGCCATGGCTATTCACAATCTTTTATGGTTCCATATAAATTTTAGGATTATGTGTTCTATTTCAGAGAAAAAATGTCCTTGGTAGTTTGATAGGAATTGTGTTGGATCTATATATTGCCTTAGATTGACATTTTAACTATATTAATTCTTTCTATCCATGAACATGGTATGTATTTCCATTTATTTGTATCTTCTTTGATTTCTCTCTTCAGTGTCCTATAATTTTCTGAGTACAGGCCTTTTACTTCTTTAGTTAAATTTATTCCTAGGCATTTTATTGTTTTTGAAGTAATTGTAAATGGGATTGATTTCTTCTTCTGATAGTTTATTATTGGTGTATACAAATGCAACTGATTTCTGAATATTAATTTTGTATCCTG